GGGGGTGGCAAATGTTTGTCGGGGGGGAGACGAACCATGGAATTGATGTTGAGCGGGGACCCGGAGGAGTGGTTGTTCGCACTGACGCCGGGAAAGGTCCTCCTCTTTGGTGAGCCGCCGGTTGCGATAGTCCCTGTAGAGACGCGCTTCCGCCGCCCCCGTTTGCGTCCTTCTTGAGGAGCGAGGCCGTGCGTGGGGGGCGTGTGCGCGCGCTGCGTGCCGGGCGACTGGTGGTTGTGGTTTCCGTGGTTACTGTGGTATCCCTGCTTGGTCGAGCTGCCGGTGTGGTGGTGGAGGCGCAATCCGCCACTGCCCGATGACGAAGACGAGGAGGAGGAAGAGGAGGAGAAAAAAATTCTCCTCCGCAGTTCATTGTCCTGGGGCTCAGTGTCGGACTCGGTCTGTTGGCGTTCCTGGCCATCTTCGGAAAGAATCCTTGGGGGTCCGTCTGCATAATGAAGAACCCCTCCGGTGCTGAGTGGGGGGCTCTGGATTGGACCTCCTCTGCTCATGGGTCCCGCCAAGGGTGTGTTTGCGTGTGGAGGCGATGAAGAAGCACCATTTTGTTCCTCTGAGTGGGGACCTCCATTCATGAGCCCTGAGCTAGATGAATATCCTACAGTGAACAACAAAGATAATGAAGCCCAATTACAGTGTAGGTGCTCCACATAGAGCAGTCATTTGGTTCATTATTTTCAACAATTTGCTAAAGAACACGAAGGGCATTGGGAACGTATTCACAGCCTCTTTCCACATCGTACATGTTCCAGTTTTGTTGTTTCTAAAATTGGAATAAATGAAGTTTCTCCTCCACAGAATTCGACACACAATAGACCATAAGGGCAAGAAAAACAGATTTTGAATTTGTTGCAAATGAATTAGAAATTCAAAAAACAAAGACATCCCATGAACAAAAATATACACATCCTTCGCTCAATACAGTACTTCTGTTGCTGGACCATTGGCAGCGATGACAGATTCAAGTCTTTTTGATGCCACATGCTTGGCACTACCTAAAAAACAAAAAACAAAGAAATCCCATGAACATAAATATACACAGCCTTCGCTCAATCCAGTACTTCTGTTGCTGCACCATTGGCAGCGATGACAGTTTCAAGTCTTTTTGATGCCACATGCTTGGCACTACCTGGAGGGTGTTGGCGCGCAGCCATTTACAGGGCTTTTGCTGGCCCACCTCCAGGACATTCAGAATTGTCCTGACGTTACTTAGACTCATTATCCTGCTCAAAGATAAATCCAAATGTCACCTTTGACCGACGACGTTTAGACGGCTCGGAAACTGGTTTTCATCCTGGAATCTCTCTCATGATCAGAGAGCTCAGTTCAGGCGATTCGATCAATTCTGGGCCCGTGCTTTCACTTGTATAGTGCTACATTCAAAGCACTTTAAACAATTTCTCCGAATTACCGAATGGTGCCGCAACATCAGGAGCAACTGGGGTTGCGTATTGCCCTGGTAACAGGAGCTCAAGATTGAACCTTCAGGTTGAGAGACACCTGACCCGACCAGCGCCATAAACAAGGCTGCAACATATAATGTGGAAAAAAAAATGAAGCGCTGTGAATATAATTTCATTGACAATATCATAAAACAAATCTATGCCACAAATCTAAAATAATAAAATGAAAAAGCCCTAACGGAGAGGGGCCTTCTTCTGATCTTGTGACAACATTTTTAGGCCGCAGCGCAAACTAGTACATTGCACACCACTCGTGACCTCTGGGCGTCGGATGTCGGGGATGTTGTAAACCGAGAAGTCTCTGTATAACCCGGTGGGAAACAATTCATCAAGGTCTATTCCCAGGGCTGTTTTGGAATCAAATTAAACGTTCAGAAGTTCCTTACCATTGGTTTGACAGGCCTGAGAGACAGGACTAGGAGTACTTCTCTGCAACAATGCACAAAAGAAAACAGCATATGGTGATGCCAAATAAAAGGCGAAACCTTTCAGGGTGTTGAAAATACTCACCAGTCTCTCAGCCCGACTGGGTAGCACCACACTGGCGAGTGGAATGCTGACTGGAAGTTTGCTTGGGTGAACAGTGCTCAGCGGAATACTTATTGGAAGGCTTGTGATACTGTTGTCTGCCTGAACAGATGGACTCTTCTCCTTTCCACCCTGAAGGGAAAATGACTCTTTAGAAACCAGAAGACCATCTCACATGACGCATAACGAAAAATCAATTACCCTCTCAGTGCTTTTCGGTGTATTCTGAGCATCCAACGCATGAGGAGATGGGCTGCCCTGCTTGGCTCCGAGAGGAGAGTTAACGCCGCCCATTTCCCCTCTGAAATAGAACATATTGATACTGTGACAACAAATCACCAAGCTTCAGGAGCTTTTAGCGGCTTCGCACACCTGTGTGTGGGAGGCCCGGGGCCTCTCAAGTGGCCCGCGGTTGTGGGTTCCTGGTTGAGGTGCCTGCGCAAGGCAATTTTAGCGGGGGAGAAGCGCGTGTAGTCGGGAAGAGCGTGGGAGACGTGCTGCCTCTGTCGAGCCTCGGGCATGGCTGCAGCAGCTTCGTGGTCGGGAGAGATTGGCAGATAGCGTGAAAGAACCTCCGTCTTGGTGTTCCCGCGCTCCAAAGAGGGCGAGCCGGTACCGTTGATAGAGCGGTCTGGGCTTATGCCGTTGAGAGTTGGGACTGAGGGCAGGCCGAACTTGGGGGCGTCCACGTCGGCGGACGAACGGGATTCCGGGTTCTTGCGGAAAGGGGAGCCCTCGTGAGGGCTGTATGATTTGAGTTGAAGCAGCTCCTGTTGCCTCTGACTTTTTTCCAGCTCCACAATGCTAATCTATAAACACCAGAGGGAACCTCGACATGCTTCAATAGTCCTGGAATGTATCACTATGATGCTGACATAAAAAAAGGTTGATTTTGCTCAAAACGGGGAGACAAGGGAGACCTACCTGCAGCTCTAAGCAGTGTCTCTGCTTCTCAGAGATTTGTCTCCGCAGGGCCAGCTTCTCTTTCAGCAGACTCTCCAGACACAAAGAGCCCCAATCCAACTTCAGCTCCTCACATCGAGACTTTAGCTGGAACCCAAACTCGGTTTAAACTCGCCTCAATACCAAAAACCATACAATACTTTTTTGGGATGGGTTTTACACTGAAGGCAAAAAAATGACCAATTCTGATTTAAATCCGATATTCAATTTCTTGACACTGGTGAGGCATACTGCTGTGTTTGCGCAGAAGCCCGACCTGTTCCAACCCGTATACTTGAAACGACACGTTGAAAGCAACTTGGCAGCAGCAGCGGTGTCTCACCAGCAGCACGCTGTGATCTCGAAGTAAAGCCATGTCTCTCTCAAGCTGTTTGGTCTGCTCTTTCAACTGATGGTTGTGGGACGATATCTCCTTCTGGGCCTGCAGCAGGTCCTCCACAGTGAGAGCTTTCACTCCCAGCTAATCCCCCCCGACAAAAACATGATCACTTTTCAACATGTCAGACAAGAGCGTCCTTGATGGCGACACTGTGACGCATCTGCGTCATGTACTTGCGACCAAGAAACTACACAACACAACGGTACCTTGAAGGTCGGGCGAGTTAAAGCTTGTAATATTTGGAGATTGACCAAATGTTTCAGGAAAAACACCACAAAAAATACACCTAAAAAGTCCAATTATAATGAATGTTTCCAATCTATTTATAGTAGATTGGTTAGCTATCATGACGTCTAGGACTAAAATGCGAAAAGGTTCGGTTTTATGACCAAGACAGTTTAGAGTCTGGAACAAATTATTCCAATTATAATTGGTTTCAATGGCAAACCTACCGTAGATTTGAAAAATGGGATGTGATCGAAGGTAATGAATGAATACAAGATATCGAACCACTGACTGTGGTATTCCACTAACGACACAGGTGGTTGGTTTTTCCTTTTCCTGCCATTTTAAACACGGGTAGCACTCACCTCATCCAGTTTGGTCTGAAAGAGACCTTTGATCTTGTCCTTATGAGACTGACAGATGGAATGGAGCTGCTCTGCCTGCATGGACAAATCCCTGTGTTTTTGCTGAAGACAAAAGCCAAGGCACAGGACTTTAAAGATGGACAAACAGTTAACCCGTGAACTACTAGAGATCAAAACATGAGTTGAAGGTCCCCTGCCATCAAAATTGATTTTGTTGAGTCTGGTTTAAGTTTGTATGCACTTTGTGGATTGAGTGCAGTAGCCGTTTGAAGCACAATTTCGCCGAGGATGACTTTGGAAACATCACGCAGGCTACTCCACCGGCCTTCAGTATTCGTATTCTAAAAGTAATATTGAACTACTTCACATCAGCGGCATATTTGGACCACACTGGCATCAACCGTCAACGTAGCAAGTGAAACTAGAAGACGACATCCGGTCAGATTTAGGGTACTGTTTTATCTTGGCAGCTTTTATGATTATTCTTGCCTCAACACATCAGTAGTAAGAGATCAAAGCTGTCTCACAACGGTCTCAACCCAGCCCACGTCCAATGGTTGGTGAATTCTGCCTTCATAGTAATAGTAAGAGCTGACATCAAAGGCTCAAAACGCGATTCCATTGAGCGCTTGAGATACTGCATGGCACCAATCACTGCAAAGCCGTTTATCACATTTAATTTGAGAACGGAGCAAAGCAAATCACATATACATGTCAAATATTCATGAGAAATTCAGCTGTCTCATCTGCCAGGAATATTGGACCAAATAGAACAGCTTGAAGAAGGCTATCCTGCACATTTCTCATCGAAATTATTTTGCAAATGCAATAAGGTTATTGAAAAAAAAAAGTGTGGCTTCGTACCTTCCATACAAGAACAAAACAAAAAAAGTGGAGTCTTTTACCTTCTCCTGCTCTAAAAGCTGCTGCAGATTGGATTGGTACTGAGGAGTCTTCATGTAGGCCATAAACTGGAGGTATTGAACTTTGATGTTGTCTGTTGGAAGACCGGCGACACGTCAATCAATCCAAAGGGTTCTCTGCGAGTTCGCTGGAAATCGCGGTCGGGGTGCCCAGTTTTCTCCTCGGCTTACCTAGCAGTTGTTGCAGACCGGGAGGGGTTGGGCTCAGCAGCAGTTGATTGGCTGGGTAGTGCTGGACCTTAGGAGGTAGTTGGTAAAAGGGACTCCGCGGTTGCAGGTATGCATCTGCGCACACAGCAAGCACAAAGAACACCAGTCTCAAAAGCACACACGCGAGCAAATGACGATATAGATCTTCTTAATACTAAAATGAAAAGGGTGCAGAGCACTGCGTGTTCCTCTGACCCTGAGGGGGCGCTGCAGAAAGGGTCTTGGCATGCAGCAAATCCAACGCGCTCTGGTTCTTCTTCTTGTCGATAGCCGGCGCCGCCTTCTTGGGTCGACCCCTCTTCTTGTTGTTCAGCTTGCGACCCTTGGCCAAGAGTTTTGTTTGGCGGGGCTTGGCGGCGGGCTTGACCACAGACACCAATGGGAGGCGCTGCTCCTCCTCCCCACAGGAGTCCTGCTGGAGTACCGAATACAGGTACTGTACATGCATACACAGTGGTCAAACGTATCACTTTCCATATAGGTTATCTTGTATCTACAACCCTCAATAACGTGCCACATTTACCGGTCTCTGTGCCGTTTGTTACCAAATCATAAGGAGAGATTGGGAAAAAAAAGTTATATTTTACTGATCGGCGTTTGAAGGAAATTTGAAAAAATCAGGTGCGTCCGTCTGCGCCCCCGTAAATGTCAAACACGTACACGCCGTCTCGTCTCAGACAAATCCCCAGTTTTCAAAGAGGGTGTGCACATTTATTTTCATTTCCCTGCTCTAAAAAGACTATTTGTTTTCCGATTAGGTTGCACAGATGACAGGTCATGTTAATGGTGGTCTTGGTTTCATTATTTATGTAATTGCGGGCATGTAGACTTTTTACAGCCACAAATACAGGAACACAATGTGTCAATGTCTTGCCTTGTTAAATGGAAACAATTACAGTCAGTGCATTGGTGAGGTGTGGCTTTAATCATTTGCACCCATTTGTTTCTAGTCTGTTCTGTCAAAAAATGTACGTAAAACCAGTTCCATGGCAGACAAAAAGTTTGAGTCCTGCTACAATCACGGCAGCACAAGCTACCTTGTTTTGCTCCTTGGTTTTGGTGGGTGTGGTGCTATTGCTTTTGCTGTCCTTAATATCTTTCTGCTGACGTCGTCGAGCTGCCTCTTGCTCTTCCTGTATTGAGATATTGGAAGAGTTTGACACAAAAACTTCAATAGGTTACTGCGGGGCGTTTCATCACATATCAGGACTTACCCTGAGTTTAGGATTGATGAGACTAGCAAAGTAGTTTTCAAGCTGCAAATCGGGGACACAGAAACAAACAAACAAGTTACACCAAAATAAAAATGCTTGAGGAGGAGCCCTGAGTGAAGATGTCGAGTGAAGAATCAGCTGCCAAATAATTGCTGACTGTTTTGTTTCTCAATGTCAACCCAAAGGAATAATCAATCATCACTTTGAGATATGTCAGCATATATTTCCTTATAAATTGACCAGACATTGAAATAAGGAGCATGTCTGGAGAGTTCGCTACACATTGGCTTGAGTCACACAATTTGAAAAAGGAAAAGTCATATTTGCCAGCAGTTCTTGAAGGTGGAAAGGATGTTGACTGAATATGAATTCCGTTCAAGGTGTAGAGTAGTTCTCCTTACTATGGTGCGGTCTATGGTGTGCAGATAGTAGGAGACTGGCTTTCCAGTCCAGGACACGGAACCCCTCAGTGGTGAGAGCTCTACCACACGCATTATTGTGCCTATATCTACAAGTGACAGAGAGGAGTGTCAAAGCTATCCGTGAAAAATCACTGTTCAGTAGGGTAATTAAAATGTATAGTTCAAAATAAATAAATAAATAGAAAATCGAGGTACTTACCACTCAAGTTTCGGCTGTTAATTCGAAAGTTCAAAGGTGCAAATGGTTTGGAAGATACAATCTTTCCACCTGAAAAATAAAACTCGAATGAATTTAAATGCACGGTGCAAAGTGGACAGTGGACTTCATGATGACAGCAATAATGGAAGATACTCCAAAAGGATATTAAATGTTCTAAATATGAGGAGAATGAGTCAAATGGAGGTATTTCCGAGGGCATTTTATGATGGATGATGCACTAAAGGGAAAGCCAGCATTTGGAAAAATATGCTAATATGCTATGTATGGGTTTTCTTGACGTAATCTCTCAGCAGCGTACGAACCTTCCTTCATGTTCGCAAAACGTTCCTTCAGCTGGTGATCTACCTCTGGACCAAAGGCAAAATTATTCACAAAAATAATACTGCAAGACAGAAGGAAAGAAGCACCAGTCAGAAAATGACTCACAACTTTGCTCATACAATGAATGGTTCATTTTTTTTTTTTTATGTCAACCTTGTGGTGGCGATCCTTTCTTTCCATTCTTCAGACAGAAAATCTCCTCTCTCCAGCTGAAAACGAAAAAATTCTTGAGCACTTTCGCCCCCTTTTTGACGTTGGTTTTAGAAATGCGCGCGCTAGCTACTTACAGTGTACTCCCCGTGTTTCTTGCCATACCATTTCATCCACTTTTTAAACTCTTTGTCCATGCTCTGTGAGAAATATCAACATTACGACATAAATAACCAAAGAAGAAGGACCACAGGGCACCTCAACGGGCACCCTTCTGATTGTAATTTGCTGACACGCCCGTCTAACCAAATCAAAGCACCTTTTCGATTACCGTATATTGAATTTATGAGAAGGACGTAAACCTCGAACTTTGTCATGATCGAATAAAAGGAGAACTCTTGGGCTACATGAAGATGTCATGGTATTAATTGAAATGAACCTGACATTGACTTAATCGGGAAAGAAATGTCCTACTGTCGCCACAATTAAAGAAAGAGAAAATCTTTGGCCTAATTGATCTGAAATTCATCCATTTTCAAATGATTTTGAGTTGTGTGCGCGCATGAGTGTTACCTCTGCATAGGTTGCTGGAATGTCTGCTTTCTCAACGCCATAGTAGTGTTTACAGTTGGTCGCTGCCGCAACCTGCAGCACCACCTGCCCCACACCTACACAGGACGAGCGTTTGACTTCTTATTGACAAAACAACGGGACTCGAGGACTCGCGCGCTGGGGATTTCATGCCACTGTACGGTCTGGCTCACCGCTGCCGAGGTCTACGAAGGTGTCGTCTTCCATCATTTCCATTTCGTCGATGATCTGCGCCACCAGGTCGAAGGAAGTCTCGCCGTAAACCTCGGGCGAGAAGGGCTCGTAGTTGTTCAGCTTCTCCGGGTCGGTCACAGAGTGGTTGTACACCTGTTGGAGGATGTGTCGCAGCAGCCCGTTGGACGGGCGCTTGTTCAACTTCATGGGCTGAGTCGTCCCTTTCCACTAGAGAGACAGAGTAGATTTATTTCATTTTATTGTAATGTTTCAAACTAAAATTGTGTTTCTTTTCTTTTTTTTAAATGTGTTTCAATGTTGTCAAGGTACATTCTTTTTATAATTTTGATGAGCTATTTTCTCTGCTTAGTTGGTGAATTATCTTTAGCCGTTGTGCTTGAAAATGCTTTTAGGTGTTTCCGTCTTTGGTTGTGTGTATGCACACCGAGCTGCCTTGTGTCTAAAATGTCGCGATAAAAATATGTTCAGCATAGTACACAAGTGACATTCATTTTGTCAAACCTTCATGTAATGGTAAACTGCAATACTGTATACAGTTGTGATCCAATTTGTGGTCATCTAAAGGGGACATATGGACTTTCCAACATCTTCGTTGGCCTTTTAATGCTGGTAAGGAGAATGAACAAGCCGAAGTCAATCAAAATCACATTGGACATTCTCAAACCTTCAGCACAACTGACTGATTCAGATTAATGTTTTTATGTTTTAGCCCAAAGTATAGTCACACTTGTGCAGCGAGAGTGGCATCTTTACAGCAGCTCCTACACTTTTTGTTCTTCTACTTTCGTCCTTTCATAACTTTGCTGCTGTAGATTGGGAAGTTCTCCGTTGTGAGACAAATAAAGGTTTTCTTATTCTTAATCCTTTTTTTTTTAATCCACACTTGAAAAAGAATGATTCTTGTAACTCAGCAGTTCAAAAATGAATAACCCATGCCTCTGATCACAACGGCATGTTCCATATTGGATTAAAAAAAAAAAAAGGAGAAATTGCTGAGTTGGAGTAGTTCACTGTTCCACATCTGTTAGATGACAGAAAAGTTGGTAATCATTTCGCATTGACTTCACTTGTTGCTTACCAGCTGGTGAATGCTGTCAATGGCCCTGTTGTATTTGTCGCACAGTCTCTGCATACTCTCATAACTGTTTCAATTAAAACAGCCAAAAAAAAAACCAACAACAAAAACACAAGATTAAAGACATCATATTGGCATTTGCGTGGTGAAAACAGAGCAGAAACAGCGTGGAAACCGTGCCAGACATTTTTGTGAAACCAACCTCAACAAGGGGTATTAAGAAACAAACAACCAAAAAAAAACAAAACAAAAAAAAAAATGCAAGAGAAAAAAAATGTACCAAAAGTTGTGTATTCATATTCAGACTCTTGCGACATACTCTGAGTGTTTTATTTTACGGTGGTAAACGTCTTATATATTCGGGTGACGAGTTAACCGACTCTCAGGTGCGACGCCCCTGGTGTCATGTCAAAGCCGAGAGGTAAGCAGAGCTGCACTGAGTTTACAATGCACAATATGCCGCCATCAGTGATGCTTTGAAGTGGGGTGCTTGTCATTCTGAGGCTCACCTCTTGGTGTCGTAGTCGATGAGCACATAGTTCTCCATTGCCAGCTTGAGGTCTGGAATCTCCTCGCACACCCACCTAAGAAAACACGCACAATTTAGTCACCCAACGATGCACCCGACACAGTGACACGGCAATAAAAAAAAAAAAAAAAAAAACACAAACAAACGGAGGGTTGAGTCAGGGTGCAGAGCTTACCGAATGGTCTCGATGATTTCGTGGGCAGCATCGTGGTGTTTATCCTGGTAAGAGAAACAAGAGCCAATTACTATAATGTCAAGGCAAATCGGAACATAAGAGTCCGGGAAGGAAAAAAAAAAACAACATGAATGGCGAAAAACCACTGCAGAAATGAGCTGTAACGGAACAGGATTACACATGCGTACACTCATGCGCCTCACGGTATTACTCACAAGCAAAGTGAGAGGCACTTAATAGGAAATGACTTCATGATTACAAACGCCGTCCTCGCTTTTCTCAGTTGTGACACACGGAGGCCTGCTGCAACGTTTGGAGTCCAACACAAACATGGCTTGTCATATTAGGAAATGAAATGACATTTTATAGCCTATCCCAGCTGAATTTAGGTAAGAGGACCTTTCCACGGACTGGTCACCAACTCATCGCAAGGCACCTATATAAAAACAACAATTCCCCTCGCGTATTCACACACCTATGGACAATTTACAGTCTTGAAAGAACCTCACAACCCTGTTTTTTTATGCTGGAGGATGCCTGAAAACAAACAAAAAAAAACCTACAAAAAAAAAAACACCTCAGAAAAGCACAAGTAGAACAACTATTTTAATACGGTGGAACATGAGGTCAAACACGAGGGTCTTAACCACCATCGTCCGATACAAACAAACCTTGTATGTTTACATTTTTCCTAAAAGGGTAGCAGCGACGTTGATTTGAGGGCTTTAGCATATAAAACAGCAAAAATTGGATCGCCGCAAGGCGAGAAGAGTGAGTGTCTCCCCTCTGTTATGGTTCGAAGAGCAACTCAGAAAGTGACTGGGTACCAGTAATACGTGTCGGTGCAGTTTCACATAACCGCAACACAGAATATGAGAAAGGGGATAAAGTTCACCTTTAGTGGCTATTTTGGTTTGAGGATTTATAACTATTGATTACTTTAACCCCTTCATGCACCCTGTAACCTGATAAGCTGTCCATTGTCGTAACCGTTGTCCCTGAAAGGGTTGAACACATGTATTACAGTTAAAAAACAAACAAACAAACAAACAAACAAACAAATACATAAAAACGCAGGTGACTGGACGGTGTCCTGGTGTAATTGTCACACAGCCTCTGCATACTCTCAAAAATGTTACAACAAAAAATTTGCGACAATAATGGTATTGGGACCGTGCTATCAAGTTGTTGTCGTATGCTAGGAGAAGCTTTTTAAAACGGCACATGTGAGCTGGGATAGTGATGTTCATATAGTTAGCATACTGCAAAAGTGTGTTCATGCCTCCGCATCAGATCTCTAATAATGCTTGTATCTACTTTATTTTTGAGTTTCAGTCCTAGATATATATGAATTGAAAAAGAAAGCAAAAACGCACAACGGAAAAGTGACCGAACGCCCCTCAAAACAGGCCTCTGAAGTTGCACAACTTGGAAAGCTTGAGTGCATTTTTTTTTAAGTCAGACGACTTACATACTTTCACTTACGACAGTTGAGAATGGAAAAACACTGTCTGTACAATTAGCAAAAGGCGCTCTGATGGCGAGTCTGACTCTGAAACCGAACGGGTTTGATTTCCGTTGTTTCCTGCGGGATAAACTTCTCGCCGGCTAATCTTTCCTTCATTTGGTTTAAAATAGCAGCTCGGTGTCCTCAGACATCCTGAATAAAATGGAATCATCTGCAGGGCTAGATGGCAATCTTGACTGCAGTGCGCGGGAGCGACGGGGCGCTCAAGTTGCAGCGTGAGCCTGAGATGACCCACTGACCCACTTTCCCTACTCACACGGCGGTGCGCGTCCAAGGGAGTGCCTCTGGTCGAAGGGGAACGCAGGGAAGGAGAAAGTGAGAAAAGACAAGTGAGGTGGCAGCGAGAGGTGTGTGTGTGTGTGTGTGGGGGGGGGGGGTTGAAAGTGAAAGCAAGGAGAGGCGGAGGAGTGCAGGGAAGCGGAGAGGACGGCCAGGCTGGTGGGCGCGGAGGGAAAAACCGGCTATTTGTCAGCTGTTCTGCAGCCTGAGCTAACAGCTCACACGCTGCGGATTCCCGCGCAATACTTCCCGCCAACACTCCACAAGCTGCGGGCGCGCACATTCAAACGCGCACAGGAAAGGCGATTCCTGTCAGCGCAGTAAATTCTCAACACAACTACGAGCTATCTCGCAGCTAAGTCCACCCCCCCGTCCCAACCCCAACGCGCTAACACCCTTTCGCGACGACACAAATACATATAAAATGCTCGGTATGCGTGCGGGTTGCCACATGAGGGAAGTCACGTGATCGCACAGAACGGGCACGCAGCAACTAAGAGCCGAGGCTAAAAATAAAAGGGAGACGTGCTCTCAACTCACTGTATACTGTGAGCACAGTCATGCAAAAATCAACAGGACGCGAGGGTGACGGGCGGCATGGAGGACGACAGACAGACTCATTCAGCCTTCGGGGCACAATGAAGTCATCATTTCATGCGTTGTCATCTCCACAGCGACCGATAGCGCACGCCTTGTCCCGAAAAGACCTTTTCTTTGCTCTGTGTGTTTAACTGAACTGAATTGAAATTCTTGCCTCAAAGGGACAACATGGCCACTGGCTGCCATTTGTCCCCATTTTCACAGGAAAATCTCTCAGGGAAAAGTCGAGGAATTTGGACGGTGAGCCTTGTTTAGGCCTCAAAAGTCGCATGCAACTTTGAGAAACCGCAGTCACGCATGACATTGGGGAAAAGATTTTCACTTTGCCTCTCGCCCGTGACCCAAAAGAGAACAAACACTAGAGAAAATGGATTTATAGATGATTTTCGGGTCCAGAAAGCAGCCCACTTACATTGCATTCTTACGATGGTAATTGCTCAAATACGTAAAAGTGGCTCGAACAATGAATTCTGTCAATGTGATGTCATTGTGTGTGGGCATCCAGAGCAGTTGATAAGCGCACGCGCGCCTTGTACTACAACACAGTAGTCTTGTTGTGTGAGTGTGTGTGTGTGTGTGTGTGTGTGTGTGTGTGTGTGTGTGTGTGTGTGTGTGTGTGTGTGTGTGTGTGTGTGTGTGTGTGGAAACGTTTTCAACACTGCTCCTATGCAATGTGGGTGAGAGTGATGCAATCATCAGTCATGGAGTGGAATTGATTGCTATAAGCTGACATTTAAAACAGAACGTAGGAATGCGACTGCTACTTCCATCCAGCCCTCTGTAGTTTGGACCATATGGACATAGGGAGGAGAGAGGAAGTCGTGCCCCTCGGTGTGCTTCAGTGACATGACACAGGCCCAAGCGTATCGCCAATTCCTGCCATGCCTGTTCTTGTGCGTGTAGCCATGCGGACCACAACAAAAGGAAACGCGCGAGCTCGTCGAGGCAGTTGGCAGAGTGTTATCAGGAGCGTAAAAAGGGAGGGTCAACATTTACACCCAAGCGCAGCCCGGAGTGGCTGTGACTGCGACGACTCTATTTCCGTACTTAATGTTGCCGGAGAGGAAACTTACAGAAAAGAAACCACCCACGGGTATTCTGAGAATTTCCACCGTTTTTTTTTTTTCACTCCTTACTGTCTCACCGCAATCACAACAGAATAGAAACACGGTTCAGTTCATGAGTCTCACTAAGACGATACGACACCACTTTCGTTTCCGCCTCTTCAGGGGTCCTAGACAGTAGCACACCAACTACCGGCATCGAGTCTTTGGAAGCTTGATGATCAGTGAAAGCACGAGAGACCAAGTTACCACTTAATGTCAACACCATGAGTCTTGGCCTCAATTTATACTGCAATGAGGTGACAATTAATCGAACATATCAAATAATTTGATTATGTGAAGACGGCAACTAACGGAACAAAAATAAAACTTAAATGGTAGCATGTGTTTAATAATGAAAAAAATTTTATTCGACTACATTAATTACGGGATCATTGGAAGGATAAATACTTTATTCGAAAAATATTCAATCGCTGGAGCTTTGACGTCAAGGTCATGTAAATAGAAAAAAAAATGCATGGAGTTGGATAGCTTTAGATGGGAAGGGAGCCTCTTCCAAATGTGGATAACTATCTGATTACTATCAGATACGACAGACACACACACACACACACACACACACACACACACACACACACACACACACACACACACACACACACACACACTTGAGTGCTGTTTGGCTTTGGCCAAAAGGCAGATGTGATAAGAAAATATATTTATCGACAGTAAATATAGAATGAGTGTGTCATTTTAATAATGCGCGTGGTAATAGACAGTAAAAAAAAAGATATAGGCGTTAAAAGGGAATTGTGAATACTTGAACCATACAGTGTAAATCCAGCCTTCAGGACAAAAACAGCCTTGCCACTGTGGCCACGTGCCGCTATAAGGTATGCGTTACAGTAAGTACTAACAGATGTTCAGTCTTAGCGAGGAAAAACAAATGTATGTGCCTGCATTTACTGCCATGGAGCAGCATACGAATTTGTACTTTGATGACACAAACATTGGAGGACACACAAACAGACAATCAAGGCACTCCTTTAATGTATTCTAAAGCTGTCAGGTGTTGGACAACAGTGCTAAGAATGACCCTCACATTTTCTTTAGCACCCGAGTCACTTGATTTCTGCCCATTAGTCCCGATCAGACACCTCAGCAACGTATTAAAAAGACGACAAGAGCATGCAACCACTGTTCATGTTTTTCTGTCAGTTGAGAAACCTCATCGAGTTGCTGGTTCAAGTGCATTTGCTGCCTTGCCTCAACTGTACATGAGAAAACAACGCGAGACAACTACAATTGCTGCATGCAGGGGTGACAGATTTATGGGATATTTCCCCATAATAACAGAGCTTTTGAATTGGGTCATAGCTGAGGCAGGAAGGAGTTACTGGTTGACTATGTTTTATTAGTGCCCCATACACTCAGAAAATACATTGCATATATTCCAAATGATTCATCATTTACGACTCTTCGATTGCAGTTTTAGAACCATTGCTCTAATCGACGTGACAACATTAAGAGGTAAGGTGAAACAAGGTGAACGTGTGCCCGGGTCCTGAGTTGACACACCGGCGCTGTCCTAACCACACTAGCGTGCCCGAGCTCGGAAGTGGCTAGCACCAGGGGGGCTAGGTAACAAAGCCAAAACATACAGAATACAAATACACAAGCTCTATTCCACAGCGCGTTAACGAATAATAACACTTACGTAAACCGGTAAGGGCCACGGGTAGCCAGCGGCTTCTGCTCCAACCGGCGATTTGAGCCTCAGCTCCAGCTTTTCGCCCATTCTCCACTTGACGGCGGCTTGGGGTTGCGGCTAGCGAGCGAGACTAGCTGGTAGACTTGCTCTCCGCGAGCTACAACGTGAACATGTTGCGGTGGATCAAAATGTTTTTCAAAGGAAAAAAAAAAACAACGGCAAAAATGAGCCCCCAAAATAGGCGTCGCGGCGGGGAATTAGCATACAGTGACGTCTGACTCAGTTCCGAATTGTTGAATAAAAATGCCCCCTTTATGACCACTGGCAATAACACCTCGTCTGTGTGGCCGCCATCTTGCCCGGCATTGAAAAACTATGGCAGGAGGCCACACACAGGGGAAGTAGACGTCACAGAAGGGGAGGGACATTGAGGTCAGGAAACCATGACAGTCGGTGACGAGGTGCCACTTTTATCATTATTTTTTGCCAGGTAAATATTCACACATTCAAGCTAGTAACGAGTCCAAACAATAATAAGAATATTTTAAAAGAATGTAAAATGATTTTAAAGGAAGAACGTCACTCGGCGAGGGGTTGACGAGATCACGTGACAACCCTGACACGTTTTAAAACTCAGCTGGATTGGCTCCTTAACCATAAGCATCATTCATAATCGATGACAGGTTTTCCAAGAATTCCAACACAGAATTTGAACATCTGTTATCAAAACAGAACAGTATGGCAAAAACAAAACAAAACAAAACTGAATATTAAATCCTGTGTTTGCACAAGACTTTTTGAACCCACAGCCGGTAAATTCACTCATATTTATGTGACTCAAAACAATAATAACGGTAATAATGATATCTTTCAAGGAACCCAAGGACTCTTGGATTTTTAGACAAACAGTCCAAACATTTATCTACATTTACATACTTCCAAGGGCTCCAAAATGTGTCTTGCATGCCCGCTCTCTTCAGGTCACCCCACTGATATTCAACTAGACTTAGGTCTGGGCTCTGGGTCAAGTTGAATCCAAAACTTCTGCATAAACCATTCTTTTGCCGTTTTGGTTTAAAGACAAGCACTTGCACAAATTAAAGCAGAAATTGCATTGTACTTTCACCTAAAATGGGGGGTGGGGGGGCTGCTGTGCCAAAAAATTACAGTAATTTCTCCTCTTATGAAACTCATCAAAACCCTGTTGCAACAAATCACCTCAAGTCACGTCTCAAATGAATGACAAAGACTTCCCAACAATCCAGTTATGTCAGTATTACATCATCACATGCTGACAATGACCAGAAAACATGTTGGTTTTTTGTGGGGGGTGGGGGGGGGGTAATGTCACCTATCATCACTTCTTACTCAAACTACAACAATCGATTTACAGCAAACCACATTGAATCACCCTTCAAATTAACAGTGCGGAATGATGACTTCCATGATCAGTAATTATTCTGACAGCATTACATCATATGATGACTATGACAACAACAACAAAAGGTTGAAAACATCACTATGTTCACCCTATATTTAATCAAATATACTACAAAGATGAGACATTTATTGTTCAATCTGATAAACGTTATTGTTTTTAGCAAATAATCATTAACTTTGAATTTTATAGTTGCAACAGGTTCCAAAAAAGATGGGACAGGGTCATGTTTACAACTGTGTTGCATCACCTTTTCTTTTGACAACATTCAATCAATGTTTGGAAACTCAGGACACTACATTCAAGTTTTGTTCCTGCTTGACAGTCTGGGGTCTCCGTTGTTGTTTTTTTCCGTTCATAAAGCGCCACACATCTTAACTGGGATACAGGTCTGGACTGCAGGCAGGCCAGTCTCTTTTACTACGAAGCCACGTTGTAACACCTGCAGAATGTATTTATGTTTAACACAGCGTCTCAAATTCATTGGAATGAGGTTTTCTAGATCGAGTCACACCTCAAATTATAGCGCAGGATGATGACCTCTCAGATCTTTAAATATTCTGGCAGTATTCTGTCTGTCACATGATGAATGTGATTTTAAAAAAAGCCTGAAAATGTAAAAAAATAAATAAAATAAAAATTCTTGTGAAAGTGACAAAATCATTTGCACCAAACCACAATGAGATACACCTCAATCAAAGTGCTTTATGGGGAAGCACCAGATCTAATTATTTTGTTAATATTCAGTCATATGATGAGCAGAATACATTTAAAGTCACAAAACTCTTATTTGCAAAAACACAACAAAAAAGTCAAATTGTAGTGCTTCATGAGGGCATCCAAGATCTTTAATTATGTCAATAGTCCATCATATGATGACCCAATAGCCCCAAAACATGCTTTTTGACTTTTCAATCTCCCCAATCTCCACCTCGCACAAAAATCCAATTCGTTTCAACAGCACAAAGTTCACCCTCACACAAACATGTCATCGAGTAACATGGTGGGCACCCTGCGGGCGACACAGCTAGTTAACTCCAGTCAGAATGTGTGCCTAATAAAACCCAGAGGGGGAAAAGGCGGAGACTTCCAGTGGGTTCCACATGCGTATAAACATGTCAGCATATACTGTATAGCCGCTCTATGCTGGGGAAGACATGGCGGCATGCCACAATGAACCCACTGACCGCATCCCTCCTCCCTTACTCGAGCCGTGCTGCATGAGGCCAACTTTGGGATGCGAGCCAGTAGCAGCATAACACACGAGGCCAAGGCCAAGTGGAGCAACAGTGGCCGTGAGGAATTCTGGGATCCTTCAGCACAGTGTCAGATTACAGCTGGGGTCTCTTGCTGGCTCTGATGCAATGCCAAGGGATCCTCACTGGGTCGTGTGATGCGTTTAAAGGTATTTGTAAAGATAAGGATAAGTCTGGACTACATTAATCGAAAAAGTTGTTTCCCCGCACTTGAAGACAGTGTAATCAGTCCGTGTAATGCGCCCTGAAGTGTTGTTGACATGTCAGAGGGAACCATGCAAAGTGTGGCAACGCAGTGTGGAAAAAATTTGGCAGGAGTTTGCTGCTTTCTAGGAGGGGGAAAAAAAAATGAAGCTTGTCAAATACTGAGCCAAGCTTGTGGAAAGGAGGAGTGTGCTGCCACCAAGAGGTCGAATGGGTTCAAATCACAATAAATATGAAATTACAGCTCATTTCTGGGAATACTTTGGACAAATACATATTTTGCTACACGGTCTAAGCAAAAACAAAACAAAAAAGCCCCAAAAAAACAACAACAACAACAAAAAAAACACAACCTAGATATATTACTATTTTTTTTCTTTTTAGTGAGTTCTGTCGCCAACCCGAAGGCCACATGTCTTCAGACGAGGATTATTTCACAATCACACCTAGGGGCAATTTAGACTCTTCAATGAACCTAACACTCACGTTATTGGAATGTAGGGGAAATCTGTAGAAGCTGAAGGAAAAAGCAGAGATTCGAAACCCCCAACCTCAGAAGTGTGAGAAAGACGTGCCAATCACTACAACACAGTGCTGGCAACAAATTAATATTAATAGATCTAATCTACTAGATAATACATGATATAAAATGGCTTGTTGAATATCTTGCCCCTCAAAATAAAGACAAAATTTGAGCAACTCCTCTCAGCACGATGTTGTGGAATTCAAAATCACTCAATTTCTAAATCAATTCAAAAAAACAAAACCACAAACGAATAAAGTCTCATGTTATAGTGACACTTCATTACGAATACGCTTTTTTGGAGTAACAGATTGGCCCGAGGTCGCAGGGGTCTGCACACAAGGAGATTGACATCTCATAAATCACATCCATCTGTCTGTGATTGGTTTATTTTCCTTAGATGCAGTGATTTGTTATCGTCAGATTAGAGGCAGAATATCGGGCAGATTTTATTGATTTTTTTCTCACACATCATATTTATCATTTATTCCTGTCCAGTCATAATGACTGCTTTTCTTTGTTGAAACTGCAAACTCGTACTCTGGTATACATTTAAATTTTGTTTTTATTTGTATTGGATCTTATTGAATAAATTAGGTGTCAGGTGAGTGTACCTGACCATAAAAAAATGCACACCTTTATCTTAATACTGAAAAAAAAAAATCAGGATTAAAAAAAAAAATGGTGTAAAGCTAAATCAACATCCTCCAAAGTTGTGGCTGTTCTAAATTAAATACACATAATTGTAAAATGTGTTTCTGGTCTTAAACTTCTACCATTTGTCATACAAATATATAAAAAACAAACCTAACAGCTGAACATTAATATTCAAAATTAAGTAAAACTACTCACCCCTTAGAAGGCGCTTGACAGACATGTAATGAGGGCACAGGAAGGTTTTTGCAGCAACTGTCACCTAGTGGCATTTCATAAATATTGCTGGAATTAACAACTGTGAATCATAAGTAAGCAATATTTACATTAGCATCTGCTTGGACAGATTTGATCATTGCGCTGTTCATATTTTACCAAGCAGCTTGAACTTTTCCGATTGCTACCATTCTTTTCATTTCCTGAGGGGGGGAAAAAAGCTTCAAAATTAGTGAAACGAAATTTCAGTAAGTTCATGAATTGCCATTTTGTATCGCACTGTACATGCTTCAATCGTAAGCGGGTGCCCAATGCATTGCAGAATCAGACAGACGGCAATAACGGGGTCGGGAATTTGACGAATTAGGATTTGAAAGAATTTTTATTGAAACAAAAGATTTTCATTTTCAGTCCCAGTCCCTTATGGTTTTTCAAAAAGCGTGCTTTGGGTTTTAAGCGCTGACATTTCCAGACTCATCTACCTCCTGAGTGACCCCAGCACCCCCTCCTTCCCCCCCTTGTTTTTTTTTTCTTTTGTTTGTACATCAGCGAGACAAGAGGGGTGAGGGGGAAAAAAAAAAAAAAGAGCGTATACAACAAGGTCCTTTTGGCACAATCACTCCTGCTTGGCTGAATATTAACTCATAATGGATTTTCATCGAGACCGGTGCAGGTCTGTACGCAAACAGAAACAGTGCTGTAAATTCTCTGATGGGGAAAGCACTGAAGGGAGAAGAGAGAAAAAAAAAATCCGAAACACAAGTTCAATTGATCACATTGGAGCGGAGCTTGGATTTTTGTCAACCCGAACGCTCTGCTCCAGGTAAAAGACTGTTCATTCGGAAAGCATGCGCTCCCCCTCAAAAAAAGAAAAAAAAATCACTTGGACAAAAAAGACAAACAAAAACACCCTCACAGATAACAGCAAGGTGAAGGAGGGGGGAAAAGTGCTGATTTGTCATCTTCACATAAAGCAGGGGATCTTTTCCTATCAGAGGGCCTTTACATTTATGTCAAAACAAGTGAGCATTTGTGGGTTTCTCATCATAGTTCCTCCGTTTTTTTTCCCTTCATTTTCTTGACCCCATGGGCTGTAGTTTCTCAGCCCTTACGTAAATGATCACCTTATGCTGTTTGCTGACTGATGAACTGGACTTGCTCTCCCGCGAGCTTGTCTGACATCAAGTTTTTTGGGGGGAAGGGGTGGAAAAGGCAAAAAGTGGTCAAGGGCAAACATCTGTTGCAGAGGAGGATGGCTTCATGTTAACAGTCGTGCGGACGCAACGTGACCCGAAATGGAGATCTGCCATAGGAAATGAATAATTGTGATGATATATGCTATTCACAAAAAGTTGTTGGGTGAATTTTCAGGATGAACCTAAAATGCACTACAATCTTGATAAAGGAACGAAAACCGACCTTGAAACTTCAACGCGCGTCAGCCGTTTCAGAACTTTCTGAACAACTCTCACGGCCACCGAGTTTAGAGTGTTGTCAGCAGGTTACATGAGAGATGCAGAAAGACTGGAAGAGTAACAGAAAGGCAAAACAAGTGGACGTCCTTGGAATACAAATGACACTACCTTATGTTCTCAAAAGGATGTGGCCACCGAGTTTTAGAGTGTTATCAGCAGGTTTCCAGGAGAGACACAGAAAGACTGGAAGAGTAACAGAAAGGCATAACAGTGGACATCCTTGAAAGTGTTAACTCCTTACTAGAGAATAGTTAGTTGTGCAAAAAGTACTGAAACGCTGAACGCATGACTGAAAACTTTAGAGGATTGACTTTTAAAGGGAAGAGTGAAATTCAGGGTTCATCCTGAAATGAGTCACGACTTTTTGTCAGTTGAGAATTTGTGGATTCAATGTTTTCCAAAAGAGGTATGATAATTTTATTTTATTTTTTTTTCAAATCGGATCAGATTCTCTCTGTTGGCCACCAGCATTTGAGCGGCTCTTCTCAAGCATGATGAGTAGCGAGACAACAAGCCTCAGTGCTGGAAAGCATTTCCTGAAAGCATGACGTGCAGCTCTATCGACCTATGCGTGCTCCCTTTAAAGAGAGATGGAGAAGAATGAAGGGCAAAAGGCAGCTTCTGAATAAAATACTGGCTGGCGTTCAAAATGAGGAGAGGTGGCCTTGAAAAAGCGCTGATATTCCCCCATCACTTTGAGGCTGTGAAAATAAATACATCTCAATATAGATAAGGCGGGGAAGACTCTTTCATTTGTTTTTTTTCCGAACTTAAAACAAATCATTGGCCTGCACTTCCCAGTCTCAAAAGCAGGACAGACATCTCCTTGGAAAGAGGTGATTTTTTTTTTCTTCTTTTTTTTTTAAATTCCCTGATTCTTTCACATCTCACGAGAAGAAGCTGAGAGAGAGAGAGAGAGAGAGAGAGAGAGAGAGAGAGAGAGAGAGAGAGAGAGAGAGAGAGAGAGAGAGAGAGAGAGAGAGAGA